AGAGAGAGAGAGAGAGAGAGAGAGAGAGAGAGAGAGAGAGAGATGGGAACAACGTGGAAGGGCAGGGAAGGCCTAGGGAAGATGAAAAGGGCAGGGGAGGGCGGCAATGGGCAAGGGGGAAATGTGGGGGAAGAGCTTCGATTCTCCCCCCCAATCCGTTTTTCACTTTTCAATACGTTTTAATCGTTTCTTTCTTTGTTTTTCTTTTCCATTTTATGTCTTTTTTCAATCAATCAATCAATCGATCAATCGATCGATCGATTGATTGATTGATTGATTGATTGAACAAAAAAAAAACGAAAAAAAAAAACGGGGAAGGAGGCCGTTAACAAAAACAAAAGACGAGTAGCCAAACAAGGATTGGCGGGACGAGGAAGAGGAAGAAGAATCTGGGGTGGAGGAGGCCGTGGCGATGGAGAAGGACGAGGAGGAAGACAAAGAGGAGGACGGCGACAAAGGAGGAGGAGGAGGAGGAGGAGGAGGAGGAGGAGGAGGAGGAGGCGACGATGGAGGACGAGGAGGAGAAGGAGGAGGAGGAGAAGGAGAAGGAGGAGGAGGAGGAAGAGGAAGAGGAGGAAGAAGAGGTGAGGAGGAGGAGGCCACGGCGGCGGGGGAGTTGGAGGGAGAGAACTTAAGAGGAGGAAGAAGAAGAAGAAGAGGAGAAGGAGGAGGAGGACGACAACGAGGAGGACGAGGAGTGGGAAGAGGATGAGTAAGAAGAGGAGGAAGAAGAGGAGGAGGATGAAGAAGAGAAGGAAGAAGAGGAGGACGGCCCGACGATGGAGGAAGAGGAGGTGGAGGAGGAGGAGGCCACGACGACGGAGGAGGAGGAGGAAGAAGAAGAGGCGGAGGAGGAGGAAGAAGAAGAAGAGGCGGAGGAGGAGGAGGAAGAAGGAGAAGAAGAAGAGGAGGACGAGGAGTAGGAGGAGGGCCCGACGGGCGTGAAAGACAAAGAGGCGGCGGCGGCGGCGGCGATGGCAGTGCGGGAGTAGGTGGAGGAGGAGAGATGACGAGGATGGGGAGGAGAATGAGGAGTAGGAGGAGGCCCCGACGATGTTAGAGGAGGAGGAGGAGGAGGGGGGCGAAGTGATTGGTCACTCGATCACTCCGACGGCCCTCCCCGCTCCTTTTTCAATCAATCAATCAATCAATCGAAGATCCCATCGAATCGATATTGATTGATCGGACAAAAAAAGAGAAAAAAGCGGGGGAGGAGGAGACATATCGATTCGGTGAGGATGGGGAGGAGAAGGACGAGTAGGGGGACATGGATTGGCGGGACGAGGAGGAAGAAGAAGAAGCGGGGAAGGAGGAGGCCGTGTCAATGGAGAACGACGACGGAAAGGCGAAGAGGAGGACGAAGAGGAGGACGACGACGAAGGAGGAGGAGGAGGAGGAGGAGGCCCCGAAGGGGGGGAAGGAGGAAGAGGCGGCGGCAGGGGCGGTGGAAGAGGGGGAGGAGGTGGAGGAGGAGAGACGACTAGGATGGGGAGGAGAATGAGTAGGAGGAGGCTTGGAGGAGGAGGAGGAGTGGGAGGGGGCCGAAGTGATTGGCCACCCGATCACTCCGCCGGCCCTCCCCGCTCTTTTTTCAATCAATCAATCAATCAATCAATCAACCACCCAACCCCACCAACCCCCCCCCCACCCCAAAGCCTGTTTCTATTTTTTTTTGCTGTTTTTGCTCGGAATGGCCCCAATTGTTTTGGGGGGGGTCCCCTGGCAGTGCGCAGAGCCCCCCTATTTTTTTATCTTTTTTTTGCTTTCCGCATGGCAAAAAAGTTGTTGTCCGATTTTCCGGACAACTCCCCCTCGACCCTCTCCCGGAGACGTCCAGGGGAGACGTCTCCCAATCGGACAGCTGGTAACGTAGGATATGTGCCAAAATGCCCCTAAAAGATGTGGGTAGACTCGGTAGAGCGGAATGCCCTTTTGGGCCGACATCTTTGTGTTGTGTCCCTGTCAGGCAGGTGTGCAACTTTCAATCTGGACCTCCCCGACAGGGCCTTGGCCTTTTGCAATAGCTCCTAGGAGAAGTTGGCAAGTACTGGGGCAGGCGTATATTCCAAAGATGGGGGTCCAACCGACGCCATAGGTATTTCACATAATATTGTTTTTGTCAGAGGGGCATTCCGTTCTACCCACATCTTTTAGGGGCATTTTGGCATATATCTCAACTTATGGGGGTATTTTGCAAATTATCCCAATTTTGTAAGTGTCACAACTTATCCCAAGTCTAGTTGCACCCTGTTTTTTAGTAGAGATTTTAGTGGCCTACTTTCCTAGAGGAAGTGTTGCCGAAATCTCTATACATACTAGAGCAAACAAAGGGTCTGGCGACATGGTCCGTCGCGGGCCCAAGGGAAACCGTGTGGGACACAAAAGCGTGGCGGGGGGGGCGCGGGGTTGAGGCCGAGGGAGAGGAGAGGCCGACGAAAATCGTTTGGGGCGCAGGGTGAGCGGAGGTACGCGCGTGGCCGCGCGGGTACGTGCGCGGAGAAAAGTTTTCCCTTTTGGGACACAAAAGCGTGGAGGGGGGGGCGCGGGGTTGAGGCCGAGGGAGAGGAGAGGCCGACGAAAATCGTTTGGGACACAAAACCGACGCGGGGGGGCGCGGGGTGAGGCCGACGAAAATTGCCGCGGCTGGCGCGACGAAAATTGCCGCGGCTGGCGCGCAAGAGAGGCCGCATGCGGACGAGGCCGACGTGCTAGCGGGCAGGCGGGCGGGCAAGATGGCTGCGGGCGGGACGTGGGAGAGGATGGCTGCGTGTCCCACGCGCGTAGGGAATACCGAACCGCGCCGCGAGGTCGAAGAGTTATCTTCTCTCTCTCTCTCTTTCTCTCTCTCTCTCTCTCTCTCTCACACACACACACACACACACACACACACACACACACACACGAACAATTCATTCCGATTTTGCTAAAAAAGTGGCAGTGTATATTTCCACGTTTCAGCGGAAGATTCATTCCGTTTTTGCTCA